TTAGTTTTTTAAGAGTTCTCCACACTGTTTTCCATAGAGGCTGCATGAGTTTGCAATCCCACCAACAGTGAATGAGCATTCCCCTTTCTCCACATCCTCATCAGCATTTGGTATCATTTGTTCTCTTGATCCTAGCCAGCCTGATTGGGGTAAGGTGATACCTTAGGGTGGTTTTAATTTGCATTTCCCTAATTACTAATGATGTTGAACACTTTTTGAGATGTTTCTTGGCCATCTTTATTTCTTCCTTTGAGAACTCTCTGTTTAGATCTTTAGCCCATCTTTTAATTAGGTCATTTGGTTTCTCGATTCTTTGTTATTTGAGTTCTTTATATATTCTGGATGTTAAACCTCTGTCAGATGTGTCACTGGTGAAGGTTTTTTTTCCCATTCTGTGGGTTTTCACTTTTTTGATTGCTTCTTTTGCTGTACGGAAGCTTTTTAGTTTAGTGAGATCCCACTTATTGAATGTTGACTTTACTTCCTGAACAACTTCAGTCCAATTTAGAAAATCCTTTCCTACACCTATATCCTATAAGTTACTGCCAATATTTTCTTCTAATAGTTTCAGGGTTCCCAGTTTCACATTGAGGTTTTTGATACATTTGGAGTTGGCTTTTGGGCAAGGCAAAAGATAAGGATCTAGTTTCATTCTTCTACAGGTGGAGATCCAGTTTTGCCAGCACTCATTTGTTGAAGATGCTGTCTTTCCTCCATTGTGTGTTCTTGGCACCTTTGTCATATATCATTTACATGGCTTTAAGTGAGTCTACTGCTTCTCTGATTATCAAGGTTTTCATCTATAAAAAGGATCATCATAAACTCTTTCCATAATAAGGAAAAAACTTCCTTAAATCAATTTATGTCATTCACAATGTAAAAATAATGATCAATTTTACAGGCATTGAAAGAATGATATCATGTGCTGGGCATGGTGGCACCCGCCTTTAGTCCCAGCACTCAGGAGGCAGAGGCAGGTGGATCTTTGTGAGTTCAAGGCCAGCCTGGTCTACATAGTGAGTTCCAGGACAGCTGGGGCTACAGGGAGACCCTGTCTCAAAAAGACCAAAAAAAAAAAAAAAATCACAAAATATAGGAAAAAGGACTTTATAATATAAAGCTATAAGAATTATAACATTTTAAAGTATTATTGTGAAAAGATGAAAATTGACACATATTGAAAAATCCCATAATCACAAAGTTATCTGACTGTGAAATAATTTTTGCGTGTAATAACATCCTAGCCTATGGGAATAGAATGAAAAATCACTCACTCCCATATTTAATTAGCAAAGATACATAAATTTTAATACAGTCTTACTCTCATAAATGCATTAAAATTGAATTAATTGTACTGCAATGGTAATGGTTTTGCTCTAGGTAATAAAATTATGAGAATTTTGTTCTATAATCTCTTAATTTTCTATATGTTTCCATTTTTTTCCTCCATCGTCTTTTTTTTAATCATCTAAACAGGGTGCATTATGCATGCTCTTTAAAAATATGATATTTGTGGCCTTCCAAGTAAGACTTTAAAGATTAATAAAGTGTATATGAAAACAAGAGAAAAACACATCATACACCTTACATACACATGCACACATATACACATTATACACCTTACTACACATGCACACATATACACATTATATACCTTACATACACATGCGCACATATACACATTATACACTTTACATACACATGCACACATATACACATTATACACCTTACATACACATGCGCACATATACACATTACATACCTTACATACACATGCACACATATACACATTATACACCTTACATACACATGCACACATATACACATTATACACCTTACATACGCATGCACACATATACACATTATACACCTTACATACGCATGCACACATATACACATTATACACCTTACATACGCATGCACACATATACACATTATACACCTTACATACGCATGCACACATATACACATTATACACCTTACATACGCATGCACACATATACACATTATACACCTTACATACGCATGCACACATATACACATTATACACCTTACATACGCATGCACACATATACACATTATACACCTTACATACGCATGCACACATATACACATTATACACCTTACATACGCATGCACACATATACACATTATACACCTTACATACGCATGCACACATATACACATTATACACCTTACATACGCATGCACACATATACACATTATACACCTTACATACGCATGCACACATATACACATTATACACCTTACATACGCATGCACACATATACACATTATACACCTTACATACGCATGCACACATATACACATTATACACCTTACATACGCATGCACACATATACACATTATACACCTTACATACGCATGCACACATATACACATTATACACCTTACATACGCATGCACACATATACACATTATACACCTTACATACGCATGCACACATATACACATTATACACCTTACATACGCATGCACACATATACACATTATACACCTTACATACGCATGCACACATATACACATTATACACCTTACATACGCATGCACACATATACACATTATACACCTTACATACGCATGCACACATATACACATTATACACCTTACATACGCATGCACACATATACACATTATACTCCAAAAGTAGAAGTGATGACAATACCGCGGTGATCCATTGACTTTGGACACAGTATTCATCATGCTCTTTCATCCCACAAATGTTTGCAGAGGTTACTTATTGTCAAACATATAAGGCAAAGACCAACCAGCTGCTGAGGAAATAACAAGATAAGACTCCCACTGGCTTTGGGCATTAGCAGAGAGTGAGAAAGAAACAACTGACATGAAGTAGATCACATGCTAAGGGCTCAAAGATTTTCCAGCAGTAAACGGGAGTCGAAAGAAGTCCTAGGGTGGAAATGCCATCAGGAACTCTAGGGATGTGGGATGGTGGTATCCAGAACAGGAAGACCAAAGTATCCAGTGGACCAGTCCATCTGTTTGCTAGGGGAAGACTGGGCCGAGCTCATCCAACCTCTTGCACATGCTATTCCACAGTACATAACAGAGCCAAAACATTCTCACAGCAGCTCACCGACCACATCCTGACCAGCTTTGAGTCTGTGCTGGTTGACTACTGATAGTTGGGATGGATCAAACCAGCACAGCTACTATCAAGTTGCTTGAGAATGGACTTGCCTGGTTTTTAAGTTTTGTTTGTTTTGAGGAGGGAAGTTTCTAAATAAGTTTCTTGGCTCTAAATTAAGAAATGTTTGGTTCCACAAGAAATTTGCTAGAAGAGTAATTACTATAGAAGAATCATAGTATTTTGCCATCATTTAGTGCAATAGCACAACCCAAGAAAAATATCCAAGGAACTTAGTTTAATTTTTTAACTGAAGTGAAATATCACTTATACTCTTTCTATTGAATCCAGTTCAGAGAAAACTGTGCTTTCTTCTTAAATTTTAAAAAGGGACATTAGAGTTTCTATCATTTTCAGTATATGTAAAATAACAAGTACATTTGGTATTTTCTTTCCTTGTAGAAATGCTACCAAATTATCAACCTTTATGGAAAAGAACTTTCTAGAGATATTGGATTAGAGGATTTCACTTTAGTATTCTTATGACCAATTGTATTTAATGCAAATAAAATTATGTATTTAACTGCATTTTGTGCTTTTATTTATCATCTATAATCGTCTGACATCTAGGTCCTTTAGAATATAAACTTACTTGGATTGACTAGTTCTCTAGTTTGGGACTGTTTTTGAAAATTAGCTGATTCCACTAGGAAATTACTATGTCATAAATAATTGACTTATGAGGACTTTTCATAATTCAGTCAATAACCACTGGATTTTTCATTTAGGAATTATCTAGAAATAATCTATGATTTTGACTTCTAAAAAAGTTTTCCCTAGTGTGCTATTAAATCTAGAAAGTAAAGCTTTCTAGTATCATCTCAGAGCTTAATTTTGGTTTTAGTTACCATAAGTATGAATGGGGAATATGCAAGGTGAAGTGGACTAATGGTGTACATTTTCTTTAAAATAAAAATATTTAAGGATAAGGTAGATTAAAATTATCCTGCAATGCAGCAGATAATGTATTTTAAATCTATGGCCTCTGTTTTAGGTAAGATTTTCTCCTGCCAAAATGTCAACCAAGAACTCTACAGACCTAGTTGAATATGTTACAAAGTAAGTCTATAATTACTGGTTTTTATTTACTGCATTTAATGACTCAGTAAAAATTGCAGTGCTCGAATGAGATCTTTGAAGTCATGTAAACTAGCTCTCTGCTCTCAGAAAAGCTTAAGCAACTACAGGCAGACAAACCTCTGTATATGCAGTCAAGTGCTAGTGCCTTCTCTTTATGTGAATTCCTTAGGTTCCTGGAGATTTACGCGTAAAATAATAAAATGGAGGCAAGCAGGGACAGCATATAAATAACTACAACTTTCAAAATAAACCACATTGCTATAGTGTTCTAGTTTATTTCTCCATTGCTGTGACAAAACACCCTGACCAATACCAACTTGGGGAGGAAAGGGTTTATTTGGCTTACATCTCCCAGGTCACAGTTCATCAGGGAGCCCAAGGCAGAAACTTCAGGGCAGGAATCTGGAGGCAGAAGCTGAAGTACAGGCTATGGAGGAACGCTTCTTACTGGTTTGTTCCTCCAGCCCCTGCTCAGCCTGCTTTCTTATACAACACAGGCCCACCTGCCCAGGGGTAGCACTACCCACAGAGGGCTGGGCCCTCCCATATCCCTCAACAGTCAAGAAGATGCTCCTCCGACATGGCCACAGGCTGGTTCAATGGAGGCAATTCCCCAGTTGAGGCTCCCTCAACTCAGGTGTGTCAAGTGACACTAAAGCTATCCAGCACATATAGTAACGCTTCATGATTTAAAAAAAAAAAAAAAAAAAAAAAAAAAAAGCTCAAAAAATTGAAATGTATTAATCAAAAGAAAATTTTTAACTTAAAAAAAAAACCCAAATTCTGCTACATTTCTATTTACAGTGTCATACCTGGCATGGCACTCATTTAAGGAGGGTTCACACAAGGGGAACAATTCTGGTCCCTTAGAATTCTATTATTGACAGGTACATATTGTCCAAAAGATCCTAGAATTCTGGTTTTTAAAGATGGGATTACAGAAGTAATGCATATTGTTTGGTGGTGTCTTCTAGTCAGCACATAAAAGTAGCATGTGGTTTGGTGCTTTATTAATAGTTCCAGAGCATTTGGGATTTAGACTTAATCACTTCCACTAATTTTCTGTCAAGCCTATATTTTAGAACTTACAGTTCTTTCTTTTCATTTGCAAAATGAAGAGATTGGACTAGAAGTTCTCAAGGTACTGCAGCTTTAAAAAATAATTCTGACTCTAGAGTATACATCATAACCACAGAAGAAATGTGACCAAATAATTGAAATGCATCAGTGTGAAGAAAAAGCTTAATTAGTAGACCTTGATTTTTAGAAAATCATCA